GCACCAATATGCCTCTATTTTGTATGTGGAACACTGCTGCAACATGGCTTGATAAGCATTGTGTAGGTCCCATGCCTGGGGTCTGAACCCATGAACCCTGGGCTGCCAAAACAGAGCACATGAACTTAACCACTATGCCACTGGGCCATTCCCTAGGTTTTTGAGAATATTTAAAGTAGCTGATTTAGAGTCTTTGTCAAGTAAGTCTAATGTCTGGGCTTCCTCAGGAACAGTTTCTTTTGATTTTCTTTTTTCCTGTGAATGGGCCATACTTTCTTGTTTCTCTGTGTCCTGCATTTTTGTGGTTGTTGTTGAAAACTGACAACTCTGGAAATTGGATTTGTACCCCTCTCCAGGGTTTGTGGCTGTTGCTGGTTTGTATAGTTATTTGTTTGTTTAGTAACTTCCTTGAACAAATTCTCTGAAGTGCGCATTCTTTATTCTGTGTGGTCACTAAACTTCTCAATTAGCTTAGTGGTTAGTTAATAATGGAACAGAGATTTTCTTAAATTCCTGGAACCAATATGGCTCATGGTCATTGCAGAGAGGCTTGGTGTGAATGTTGGGGCATAGTTTTGACGCTCAGCCAGGCAACTGACAACTCTGCCTTTGTCTTCACTTCCTGCTTGCACAAAGCCTCAAGGTCAGCCCAAGTTGACAGTTTAGGCCTTCTCTGTTTTTTCCTGAGCATGGGCACAGTCCTGAGCATGCACTTGGGCTTCTAGATTCTCAGGACTATGTCAGAGGTTTTCAAAGTCCCTGTGAATATCTCATTACCCAGCTTATATTTTTAAGCTTAGTTCTAAATTACTCTATTGTTTCCCCCAACTGTTATCCAATACCTCAAGCATGTGAAGTTTATCAGTTGCTTGTAATTGTTTTTGACAAATGCCCTAGGAAAAAGGCTTTTCACAGTGGGTGAGTTCTGAATCAGGTAAAATACAGATAGCCTTGCAAGTGGGGTCTTCCAGAGAATTAACAGACATGTCACATAATGAGAATTTCCTAGGAATGTAGCTTTTAAAGGCTATAGCTCTCTTCTCTCTCTAGTGGCTGCCAGACTGTTTTCACTGTGAATATGAGCTGTTAATTTTTAAGGCTACCACAACCTGGAGACTGGAGAATTAGACTAGTGCAAGCTAAAACACCACAAATATCATTTTTCTTACTGAAATTCAGCCATTTTTTTGAATAAATGCTCCTTGGATTGTTGTAAACCTTTAGTGAATTTCTAGAGTGGTTAAAAATTTGATTCTGATAGTTTTAAACACTTTATGAAGGAGAAAATTATCAGTTTCTTATTCTGCCATTTTTGCTGTGTCACCAAGATATATTTTACATATAGTATTATCTTGATATTCATTGTAAATACTGTTAGAAGAAGTGTTACTGACATGAATAATTCTGGATCAAGAAGACATTTTAAAGTTAACAATTAGAAAAAAACATAGATTATAACATGTTTTTGAAAAATATAAGTGGCAGCCAGCCTCTAAGATGTTCCCAATGATCCTCATCTCCTGGTTTTAGTCTCTTTTGTGGTTCCCTTCTCCCCATACTGAATCAGGGCTGACTCGTGGAACCAATAGAATAATGTGGAGGTGATGGTGTCTGACGTCTCACACTAGTTCATAAAATATATTGCCACATCCACCTTGGTCTCTTGGATAGCTTATTCTTGGGAAAGCTGGTTGCTATGTTGTGAGGAACAGTAGAGAAGAATACCTGTGGAGAGGTCCCTGTGAAGCAGAATGAGTATTCTGCTAAAAACCAGCACTAACTTGCCAGTTATGTGAGTGACCCACCTTGAAAGTGAATCATCCAGCTCCAGTCAAGCCATCCAGTGACTGTAGTCCTAGGCAACACCTGACTGAACCTTTTGATAAGCCTTTAGCTAGGTCTGCCAGACCCAGCTGTTCCTGAAGTTTTGACCAACAGAAACTGTGAGATAATAAATGTTTATTGTTTTAAGCCACTACGTTTTGGCATGATTTGTTTGTCAGCAATTGATACAATAAGCAAGTGAAAACATTTATCCACAAGGAAGCAAAAATCCTCAAGAAGATACTAAAATATGTTTTTAAAAATTATCCCTGAGAGGGGCCAACCCGGTGGTGTAGTGGTTAAGTTTGCACGCTCTGCTTTGGTGGGTTGGGGTTCGCAGGTTCGGATCCTGGGTGCAGACCTACAGACTGCTCACCAAGCCATGCTGTGGCGGCATCCCATATACAAAATAGAGGAAGATTGGCAACAGATGTTAGCTCAGGGCTAATCTTCCTCACCAAAACAAACAAACAAACAGCAAACAAAATAACCAAAAAAAAAGTCACTTCTGAGAAAATAACAATAGGGGCTAGTAATAGGGGCTCTTTCACATCTACCAAACTTTCAAGGTTATGTTCAGAGCACAAAAAAAGACTGTAGTTGTAACAAATCTCTACTCATTTTCTGAAGATTAACTCCATTACCAAGATCTGATAACGATAGAACAAATGAAAATCATAATCTCACTTATGAATATGGATGCAGAGAGTCTAAAAAATCCTACAAATAAATGGAATATAGCAGGATAAGGTTTTCCAGAAATGCATTATGTGTCCATAAAGCTATAATAATTTAGACCTCAAGTACTGGCATCAGAATAAAACCATATGAATGGAAAATAATTTTAAGAACTCAGAAACAGAACACATCACTCCTAATACCAGTTATGAAATAGTGCATTCTTTCCATACTTAGTTGAAGTGCTTTAATCTATATTATGTACACATATACTATATTAATAATACAATATATGCATATGTTTTATATGTAATGATTTACACCACATATATATCTTATATTGAAGCATATTTGACAGGCAGAGTGTAGCTATGTTTAATCCAAAAATAAATCTTAACAATAACTCAGACAATAACAAGTATCCCAGCTATAAAAGAATTGAAAACAGATAACAGGCAATGTAGAGGGGAAGAAATTCAAATGCCAACAGGTATTTTAAAAGGCCCAATTTAGGCGGTAATACATGAAATGCAAGTTAAAACAACTAGAGATAATACCTATTTTCTAACAAACTGCCAAAGTTTTTCAAAAAGAAGAGTAGCCAGTGTTGGCTTAGTTTGAGGTAAAAAAAAAAAAGGTAAAAAATAGTTGACAAATTTTCTGGAGATTCTTTAGCCACTGCTATGTATGGTCTGAATGTTTAAAATGAATGAATGTGTAATGAATGTTTATCCCCCCCCCCATTTACATATTAGAATCTTAATGCCCAGCATGAGGATGTTCCGGGCCTCTCTGGGAGGTAGTGACGTCATGAGAGTGGAATTCTCGTGAATGGGATTAGTGCCCATATAAAAGAGGCCCAACAGAGCTCCCTAGCCCCTTCTGTCATGTGAGGAAGCAAAGAGAAGTCTGTGACCTGGAAGAGGGCCCTCACCTGACCATGCTGGCATCCTCATCTTGGACTACCAGCCTCCAGAACTGTGAGAAATAAATGTTCGTTGTTTATAAGCCACCTACTCTCTGGTATTTTCTTTTTCTGCTTTATATCTTCACTCTCTCAAACAGGAAGAAGAGAAATGAGTTACAAGGGAATTTGTGTTTATCAGTCTCCGAAAACCACTGTCTGTGGGGGCTGCTGCTCCAGCCTTCGCCGACTGTTCATCAACAGGGAAGGAAGCTGGCATTCTGGGAGAGAGGCCTCTGCCTGCAGTGGCCTGGGGCAGGGTGGGGGCCACAAGGAGAACAGTAGGAAAGCTCACTTAAATTCTGAAGATTTGAGTGAACATTTGTCAGTTGGCAATAAACAGTGGGGTCTCCAGTGGGGAAGACCTTCTTATCTTCATGTCTATCTGTCCTTTTCTCATGCACAGTCACTTACAGTGGCATTTGTAGATACGAGCAAAACGTCAACCAAAAATGAGTAACAAGTGGTCCAGACCCAGCTAAAAAGGGCCAGCCTAGGGCACAGGAGTCTCGCTATCCTGTTGCTAAGGTCTTTTCTAGCAGTTCTCTATCCAGACTCATCCTTGCACAGCTTCCCATTGGTTCCCAGTCTCGCTTCATCCCATTCAGAGTGCTCTGAACACAAGGGTGCCCTGGGGTTACCCTGTGAGGCCGCTCATCCTCCCCAGTACCGGACACTGCTCTCTCAGGCATCCTGCTTCTGAAGAAGGACATTAAGCACCATACACCCACTGGACAGAGACAGTAATCCAACGGCATAGTGTTTGAGAGCTGTGTTTTTCAGCAGGCTCTGGAGCGCTTTTTAAAGCCAGTTTGAGAACCCTTTTAAAATGGGCTCAGGATAGTATCTTCCTGTGGAAAAGTGTCTTTCACATGACTTCATCTAATTTTTCCTTTGCCTAGTAATAGGAAATTTTCTCTCAATTCTTTTCTTTCTCTTTCTTACCTACTTCCTTGCCTTCATTCCAATTTAAAGTCCAGGAGTTCTCAAATTTTCCAGTGTGAAGAATCACATAGAGTGTTTGGTAAAAATCTTGATTCTCAGGACCTATCCTCGGGAGATCTGGAGTAAGTCGAGGAATTAGCATTTTTAATAAGAAGAAAGAAAATTGTGATGCAGGGGTCCTCAGCTCATATTCTGAGAGCAGTATTTTAGCCTTTGCTGCTCAAATTTTATGAGTTATCAGTGATCTTATAATATTCTGTGATATTTTTGTTATAGCAGCCCAAAGGGATTAAAACAGCTAGAATATGTCAAAAGTCTTAATATTGACCCAGAAATTTTACTTAATCCTTTAATATGAACATTTATATTATTATTATTATGCTTATTTGTGTTTTCTTTACATATATATTATTTTTAGCAAAAGAAATACGTTAAAAAATCTTACAAATTTTGCTTGTCCTTTCAACTCGGAGGAAGTGAGCAGTTTGCGGCATAGAAGTACAGGGTTTTACATTATTTTTCTTATGAAGAATCCAAGAGCTAATTTTGGTGTCAGTTTGTCTCATCACATTTGGAAGGTGCCACATACCTGTAAATAGCGGACCACTCTGCAGACCAGATCAGGCGCCATGAAGTCTCCAGTGAATCGCCAAATGATATCTGTCAAGATATTGACCAGCCCTGTGAAAGAGTCTAACAAAAACACACAAGTGGTTAGTTTCAGTCTCTTTCAAATTTGCAGCTTTGCCATAGCAGAAACGAATTCCTGGGGAAATTGTTTCTTTCTGATTTATCGGATGGCCATTGAGGAAAATTGAGGCAAGGCAGGACTTCCTTGACTTTTATTATTGGAGCTTGTTACCATCAGACGTAGCCACCTAGGAAGGATTTTGATAGTGACTCAAGGGGAATCATACTATTATAGAGTAGACCTTCCAAGTCACAGAAGAGGAGTTTTAAGGGGATTTAGACCTGTGCTAAAACAAGGACTATGTGAAAATCAATAAAGGATAAAACTGAGTAAAGGAAAATATTTATCTTTGAGAAGCTCCTCAAATTCCTCTTTCAGCACCCATTATTTTGCAACTTGGATCTCTTATTACCTCTCTACCACCAATTTTAGCCTCCCTTCCCCCAGGTTCCTATGCTTTCTTCTCCTTTCCCCTTTCAATATCTGCCTTTGGAAAAAGTCAACTGCAGGAACTATCATTTTAATTAACTTAATTGGTTAAACTACAGAGGAACTGAGGTCAAGATCTGAGATCCAGGTCAGAGACTTTGTGCTCCTGTGGTCATCTTTACTTAATTCTATAGTTACTTGATTCTATAATAATCTTTATTTAATTCTGTAGTTATAGACTGTATAACTTGTACAGATGTCTACAGCAGAAATGGTAAAATATGCTATATGTCTAGAAGCTTCCTCTCACCCTTCCAATGCAGATATCACTAACTGATCATGTGATCCGGAATCTTTCTCAAAACAGTGCTGCAGGGATTCTCTGCTGATTGATGGATGAGACTGAAATTTAAGACTGGATAGCAAGAATTCGTTGATTTAGGGTCACTTTCTAGGGACATGGGATATAACACTCCGTTAAGGACCCAAGAGGCAGGGCAAACTCATTGCTAGGGTAGCTCTTAGAAGGCTGAAGAGAGTGATGGTCCCTCCTAAGCAAAATAGAAATGCCTGAGTTTCCATGGCAGACAGTAGAGAAAAGAATAAAAAGGCCAAGGGAAGTGGGCATGATATATATTAGATATATCATGTGAAGCCAGAAGACCCACCAGAGAATTGTCTTCCATGGAAAGGCTCAGAAGACACATTATTCATCAAGGACATGAGGAATGCACTGGTGAGAGGGCCATCAGCATCATGAAGAAGCTCAGTGGTGACTGCTATCTGCAGGCCAGGGCGAATGGTAGGAGAGGTGGTCATGGAGCCAGCTCTTGTTAGCACCATGGTTAGTATATACCATAATGATTCTTCTATTCCTTCCCCAAAGAGACATGTGGCCATTTATTTAGGTGACTGTGCAATGGGTAAAAAGGAATATCTAAACATTTTGAGGACCATCAGGCACAAAGTCTATGTTGATGTGATTCCTAGAGACCTGGCATGTCATTATGGCTGCACTATAGGAGTGGAACCTTGTGGGGCCAGGTAATAAATAGAATCCTGGATGCAGTGGAATGGTCCACTAGATCTGAACACCTTCCATTGGTCATTTCTCGAGTCCATGAATGTTTGATTGGGATTGATATCCCTGGCAGTTGGAATAACTCCCATATTGGTTTTCCAATGGTGGGGAAGGCCAAGTGGAAGTCCTCAATTCACCAGTTTGGTCCCTGCAGAAACTGGCTGGATCCTGGAGAATGACTGTAGACTGCCAGAAGCTCAAACAAGTAGTAGCCCTGATTGTAGCTGCTATACCAGCTGTGGTATCTTTGCTAGAGCAGATTAATACGGCCTCAGGTACATGATAGCCAGGTATTGATTTGGCAAAAGTGCTATTTTTTAAAAAAAATCTGATCAGAAAATATCAGAAAGGGTTTGTATTTACGTGAAACAGATAATAATATTCCTTCACTGTTTTGCCCAGGTCTGTGTTAACTCTCCTACTTTCTGTCGTAATAAGGACTGAGGAGACTTGGACAATGTGGACGTTCTTTAGAATATCACATTGATCCATTCACATTGATGACATCATGTTATTGGGCAAGACAAGAGTTGTCTAGTACATTAGAGGCCTTGATAAGACACACGTACACTGGAGGGTGTAAAATAAACTCTGTGAAAATTATGGGATGTGCCATGTCAGTAAAGATTTAGTTGTTCAGTAGTAAGGAACGACTAGAATACTCCTCTCCCCCAAGCAAAAGCTAAATTGCTGCATCTCAGTCCCCTATCTCAAGAAAGGAAGCACAATACCAGGTAGGCCTCTTTGAGTTTTTGGGGCAACACATTCCACATCTAGGAATATTGCTCTGGCCCATATACTGAATCACATGGAAGCTTGACAGCATTGAGTGGGCCTGGAGCAGGAGACGGGGCTCTGCAGCACATATGGGAAGACCATTCATCGGCCAATATGATGGACTACTATTTATTGTGGCAAATCTAGCCACTGCTGTCTTTGAATGTCCAACTTGCCAGCAATGGAGACCAACACTGAGCCCCAATATGGTACTATTTCTTGAGAAGATCAACTGATTACTTTGTGACAAGTTGACTATATCAGACCCCTTCCATCCTGCAAGGGCCAGGTGTCCATCCTGCCAGTGATATACCTATTCTGGGTATGAGCTTGCTTTCCCTGACCTCTGAGCTATAGTCAACACCACTCACCACCCACTAGAGGATTTCAGATTGCCCAACAGGAATGGAATCCCATACAACATAGTATCCGATCAGAGGACCCACTTCATAATGAAAGGGGCTTAGGACTGAACCCATGATCATAGAATTTACTGTTTATATCACATAGTGCACCACCCAGAAACAGCTGTCTTCCTAGAGCACTGAACTGGACTACTGAAGGCCAAGATGAAGTGCCAGTTTAACGGCAATACTCTGAAAGGATGGGGTGCCATCCTTTAAAATGCTGCATATGCATTAAGTCAGAGCCCTCTTTAGTGCTGTGTCATTCATAGGAGGTATATGTAAGTTTGAGAATCAAGGGGTAGAAGCAGGAATAGCCTCACTTAATATCATTCCCAGTGACCCCCTGGGGGGTTGTGTGCACCTTTGTGCTCTGCAGGCTGGAGATGTTAGTCTCAAAAGCAGGTGTAATCCTGTCAGGGGATATAGCCAGGATCCCCTTGAACTAAAAGCTATGGCTTCCACAAGGGCACTTTGGACTCCTTGTGTCCAGGGACTAGCAGGGAAAAAGAAGAGTCACCATCTTGGCGAGAGTAATTGGCTGTGACCAGCGATGGAGGCAGAACTGTGTTTACACAATGAAGTAAAGGAAGAGTTGGGTAGAACACAGGTAATTTACTTGAAACTCTCAAGTTGTGAGTGACTGCAGACAATTAGTGGATGGGGCCAGGAATTCTAAGCATCCTGCAGCAGGCTCTGAACGGAGTTGTGCAGATTATTCATGCTCTAGGGTGCCATGCCCTGCTGTGGTTGGAGGGTAAGTGGGGGCTGAAATTGAGTCTTCGTTATTGTCATGAAGACATGAACCCTGGCTATTGGCTGTGCAAAGACAAGACAAGTGTCAACTCGGTCCTGGATGACCTATGGACTGTACCCTGTAATAAATTGTTCAGATCAAAGTACCAATCCTGCCTTTTTTGAGAAACACTGCTAAGTTTTATGGGAGAGAGTTTGTGGTTTTGTGCAATTCTACTCAGACAGAGGATTGGGCAGAACCTTATTAAGAAATTAAGAGTATGCATTCAGCTAGATGTATGCTCTCAGAAAACTGAACAGCTGAACAAAAAAAGCAACTCCAACTTTGGGGATGAAGCTAGGACACTATAATTCCATTTCCAACGGTTGGTTTTTATTGCTGGGTTTCTGCTAAAGAGAAATGGCAGAAGCTGAAAACCACACTGTCATTTGGTTAATTCCTTCTGTGAACGCTGGAAAATGAGGTTTGTTAATGTGACAATAGAAGGAGCCCAGTGTCTTGAGCAGAGTATGGCATGTAGTAGGTCCTCGGCACATATTTGTCAAGTGAATTGTCACTGTGGTTCAGAAAAGGCATTTTGGGTTTTTTTTTAAACTTTTTATTTTGAAATAATTAAAGACTCACAAGAAGTTGAAAAAATATTAGAGAAATTTCATGTACCCATCACCTAGTTTCCCTCAGTGTTGACATCTGATGTAGCTAGAATTGGCTCCATGCTTTAGAGGAGAATTACTACTTTTAATTCAGGCTTCTGTACTACACTGAGCATGATCTTAAGGGATGTTATTAGGCAGTTATTATATCCTTGGCAAGATTCTAAGTGTTTAAAGTATCTAAAATTGATTTAATCTCACAAAAAACTACAAGATAAGTTCCCCATTTTATAGATGAGTAAACTAAGTGAAGTTAGAAAATTTTCCTAAGATTTCATAGCAAGTTAGATGGAAGCCAGGCTTGTAACCCAGACTCTTGGATGCCAGTGTCCATATCCTTCCTTCCTTCCTTCCTGCCTTCCCACCTTCCTGCCATCTTACCTTTCTTTCTCATTCTTGTTTTATCTGTTCTCTTTTATTCCCTAGACTAGTGTGCAGGCATGAGTCCCTGTCTTCTTCCCATTCCCTTATTCCTGCCCTGGCCCCCTGTTTTTTTATTTTGGCCACTTTTATTTATAGAGCCATTCACACACAGAAGTTGCTTTTACTCCTTTAGAGAAACTGGGGAGGCAAATCTTCCCTTTCTGAATCTTCACTGTTAACAAGATAAAGTCTGAGCCTCCTAGCTTAGCATAAAAGCCTTCCATGATCGGGCCTTGCCTACCTCTTGCCAAGTCCCCGTCTGGCATGTTTATATTGAACATCATATTTATCATACACTTGTATTGTCAGATATGCATTTCCACTGCTTGGAATGGCCTCCTTCCATTTATTAGCCTATTGAATTCTTATCTACCTTTCAATATCTAGATGACATGTCCCCTTCTCCAGAAGCTTTCCTTGACCATTCACAAGATGTGGTCCACCACAAAAGAGTATGTGGCCCTCCAAGTTTTATGTC